TATTAACGGCAAGAGAGAGCGGTTCAGGTGAATCAGGAAGGGTCTCAAGGAAAGCAAAACCCAACGGTCGAGGAAAGAAAGTAATCTAACATCACGGACACCCATTGAGTGGACACAAACCCATCAGGCGACACTGAGCAACCTGATTGATCACCTTGCAAAACCTCCAATCCTGGGTTCCCAGATTTCACCCAGCCCTTTGTGCTACACTGCGATGCATCCCAAGGATTGGGTGCGATACTGTATCAACGTCAGAATGGAAAGATGGTAGTGATAGCTTATGGGTCCAGAACACTAAGTGTCCCAGAGAAAAATTACCACATGCATTCTGGTAAGCTGGAATTTCTGGCGTTGAAATGGGCTGTTTGTGAGCGGTTCCGCCATTACTTGTACTATGCCCCGTCGTTTGTTGTCTACACGGATAACAATCCTCTGACCTATGTCCTCACCACCGCCAAACTGAATGCCACCGGCACCGCTGGGTCGCAGAGCTTGCCGACTTTAACTTTTCCATAAAATACCGGCCAGGAAAAAGAATGCAGATGCTGATGGTCTGTCACGCATGCCGTTGGACATCGACAAGTTTATGGAACAATGCACAGAACAAATGCAACCAGAAGTCCTTCAAGCTTCAGTGGAAGGAGTGGTAGTGGAGTGTGAAAATCCTTCACAAGGAACTGGGTACATTCACTTAAATGCCTTGAGTCTAGTGAGAGAGAGAGACCAAGGTGACCTGGGTCCACCACTGACCCCAGCCCAGATTCGAGAAGCTCAGGAGAATGACAGTATTATTGGAAAGTCCTGAAGTTCAAGGAGAAAGATCAACGACCAGGTAGAGAGGCAGTAAAAGCGGAACATCCTGAGGTGGCGATCCTGTTAAAACAATGGGGTAAACTCTGTGTGGGTAAAGATGGAGTACTGTATAGGAAAACCAGGAAAAGAGAACAGTTGCTCCTACCGAAATCTTACCATTCCCTGATCCTAAATGAGCTACACCAAAAGATGGGTCATCTGGGTGTGGAGAGAACCCTCTGCCTTATCCGAGAGCGCTTTTACTGGCCAAGAATGCAGAGAGATGTGGAGCACTTTGTCACCAAAGTATGCGAGTGTCTGAAAAAAGAAAAAGCCAGTCAGAGAAACTCGAGCACCGTTAACCCGATTCACACCACACATCCATTTGAAATGGTCTCAATCGACTTTCTTCATTTGGAGACCTGCAAGCAAGGTTTCGAATACATTCTTGTGGTGATGGATCACTTTACTAGGTTTGCGCAGGCGTACGCAACCAGGGATAAATCTGCGAAGACTGTTTGCAGAGAAACTTTTTAACGACTTTGCTTTTAAAGTTTGGTTTCCCCTGTAAAATTCATCATGACATGGGCAAAGAATTTGACAACAAATTGATGAAGAAACTGAAAGAACTCTGTGGAATTTGCGGATCACACACAACACCCTACCACCCACAAGGCAATGGACAAGTGGAGCGATTCAATCGCACTCTATTGTCCATGCTCCGTACACTTGCGGATGAGGAGAAAGTAGACTGGAAGAATTCCTTGGCTAAAGTGGTTCATGCCTACAATTGCACGAGAAGTGAAGCAACAGGGTTTGCGCCGTACTATTTATTGTATGGAAGATCCCCTCGCTTACCGATTGACATTCTTTTCAACTTGAAGACAGATGAAGTGTGTGGCACTTACCAGGACTATGTGTCTCGTTGGAAGGAAAGGATGGGAGAGGCATATCAAATTGCCGAAAAGACCGCTTCACAAGCAGCAGCCCGTGGGAAAAGTTACTACGATCAGAAGGCTCAAGGGAGAGATCTTCAGCCTGGTGACCGGGTCCTGATCCGCAATTTGACTCCTAGGGGGGGCCCTGGGAAGATACGTTCATACTGGGAAAATCAGGTATACGTAGTTAAGGAAAGGAAACACGCTGAAAGTCCGGTGTATGAGGTGAGACCTGAAAGCAAGAAGGGAAAAAGCCGTGTCATCCATAGGAATCTTCTCTTACCGTGTGACTTCCTGCCGCTGGAAAGGGAAAAATCTGATCGACTCCGCTCACAGAACACTCGAAATATGGATAAAGAGAGTAAGAGTGACAGAGACAAAAAGAGTCAGATTCCAGTAAACGCTGAAAGTGATTCAGAGGAGGAGTATGTTCTTACGGGTCAGTGGCAAGAGGGAATTGTTTGCCTCTTAACCCAAGAGCACTGCCCTTTAAGCCTCGAGATGAAACCCTTCAGAGCGAAGAGGATTTGCCCCTTCAGAGCGAAGAGGATTTGCCCCTTCAGAGCGAAGAGGATTTGCCCCTTCAGAGCGAAGAGGATTTGCCCCTTCAGAGCGAAGAGGATTTGCCCCTTCCAAGTTGTTCTGTAGAAGGGGACTTGCCCCTAAACCTTGAGGAAAATGTTCCCTGCTCAAGTCATGGAGACATTGACAGTGACAATGGTGTAAATGACAGTGAGTGTGAGATGGACTCTCCAAAACCCCTGAGACTTTATCCAAAGCGACAGAGACAGAAATCAGTGGTATTCACGTATGATACCTTAGGCCAACCTTCTTTGGTCCAAAGGGACTGCTCGTAGAAGTAAAGCAGTCGCCGGCACCAAGCGGTCATTTCTGGAGACCCTGGAGCATAGTTGAGAGTTGTTGACTCCTGATGAGAAATGGTTAAATTTGTTTCAAGTTATTTTGAAATGTCAGGAGACATTTGGTTTTGTGGGGGAGAGTGTGGCACTAGTGTAAATTAAAACAGAAACGGAAGACCCCCCCCAAAATTTGAGACTATTATACTTTTATATTCAGAGTAATCTATTCAGACTAAAATTCTGAATGCGCTTGAAGTGTGTCTTTGACTCCTGTTAGTGACATTGATAGATATCTGCAAGAATGACATGTACTCATAAGTATACTGGGTATAGCAATTAGTCCAAACCACTAGAGGGAGCTCTTTCCAAGGTCTGCTCAAGAATGCACGTAATATAGCAGTTAACGCAGAGACGAGCAGATAACACACCGAATTGAGATGCTCCATGAATGACTAATTGTATACTGTTAAATCTGTCTTGCAGGTAAGATTGCTTGTGTCTATTGTGGGTCAGGGTGGTCCATGAGCAGTTATGTTTAGTGTTTGGGTATTTAGGATTTGTGTTCGGTAGGTTTTGAGCATAAAAAACTATTCTTATTACCCGTGATAAGAGCGTGATCAGAAATGACGGCAATGAAAGCTCGTATGTGAAACAATAATTGGTATTGTACAATAGAGATGGAAAGAAAGTATGCACAGTAATTTTATTCAGCGGTTGTGTGATACTGACGGGTAAAATAATACTTAAAGTGACGCGAGTTCAGTAGCGCACGTGGAGTTCGCGGGTGTCCGCCATTTTGAGCAAATTGTATGCAGCGGGGACATTAGAGTTAAGGGAAACTCAAACGAAGTGATTTGCTCATTAATAGTCTAAAAGGGTCGTGAAATGTGACATAAGAGAACATTAAAGTGTATTGTGTTATTTAGAGTAACAATTCATGCTGGGAAAGGGAATGTATATACTTTGAAAAGTGTTTAACAGACAATTAAGGGGAAATGTATAGATTCAAATTAAGTTTAACAAGGGTTATTTGTTTTTTGATATGGGGCAAGATAGATTGTACGTTCACATGTTTCATTTGCAAACTGTATGTTCAAGTGAATGTTAATTTAGGTTAGTGAGCAACAGGTAATGTTACAATGAGCAATTAGAAAATGTCATACTGGATTTAAGAATGCACGTAATATAGCAGTTAACGCAGAGACGAGCAGATAACACACCGAATTGAGATGCTCCATGAATGACTAATTGTATACTGTTAAATCTGTCTTGCAGGATTGCATGCAAAAAAAACCAATATTAAATGTGTTGCACCAGAAAAGACGTCTGATCCTTTCTAAATGTGTAACACGTACATATTAGCACGTAAAATGTATATAAGCACCTAGAATGTACATAGGCTATTAGCACCTGAAATGTACATATTAGGACCTAAAATTGACATATTAGCTCCTAAAATGGACATGTTAGCACCTAAAATGGACATATTAACACTTAAAATGTACATATGATATTAGAAACTAAAATGTAGGCCTACATATTAACACTTAAAATGTACATATGATATCAGCACCTAAAATGTACATATTAACACCTAAAATGACGTTAACACCTGCACCTAAAAGTACTTTAGGACCTAAATTGGACATATTTGCTCCTGAAATGGACATATGAGCACCTAAAATTTACATATTAGCCTATAAAATGTACATATTAACACTTAAAATGTACATATTAGCACCTACAATTTACTTAAAAATGTCTTTTGAAAAGGTACATTGTGACAGCTTTTGTACCTTTTTTTCTGAGAGTGTAGTAATGATTCAAGATACGCGTTTTCTACCCGATGTCTAAAATTGTGTTTATTTAAATAGTAATTGTCTTGCAGTGTTTTACCATTAGAGTGAAATAAAGTTGCATCCGCGAGCATATACGTAGCCCCTGAGTGACGTTTTCTGATTCTGCTGTGATAGGTAGCAAAGCTCTTGTGAATAATAATAATTTGGCGAATTGACATGGAAATTTTATGTGGTGAAAACTCACCTGGAATTATTTAAATGATGCCGTTTAAAATAAAAAACAACAGTTTAGAATGGGTCAGCCAATCAGAATCAAGTATTTTAAGAAGCCATTGAATAAGGTGAGTTGTATTTGTGTGTGCTGATCATGACATAACTAATTGAAAGGATCGTCCTTGTTATACCCTGCATCAAAACTATAGATATTGGCCTTTTTGGAATGACATTGTGCTTTTAAGGGTTACAAACTGCACATCATGCTTTGCGTTCTGAATTCTTATCATCTAAACCATCTTTAATCTTCATGCAAGACCGGAAGAACAGTATCTTTTTATCACTGTGTTGCTCATACTGCAAGAAGAAAAAACTCCACCCACCCACTTTTAGAGTATATTTATACAGTGTTTTACCATGAGAACTCAATGTCAACTTCATCATGACCATCATCATCAGCATCTCTGTGCTCCTGCTGGCCTCTCTGCTGCCACACCTGACCTTCACTGGTGAGAATGATTATATAACAGGAAATTATGTTGATTTTTAAGAATGTTTGATTTGTATGGTCTGAATAAGTTTACTGACAGAACCATCTCTCTCTCTCAGCTCATGTGAATGTGGGTATAGTGAACGGCACAGAAGCCAAACCCCACTCCAGACCTTACATGGTTTCTATTCAGAAGAACAGACAACATATCTGCGGTGGATTCCTCATTTCTAATCAGTTTGTCCTGACTGCTGCACACTGCTGGAACCGGTAAGTGTTAAAGGGATACTCCACTTTTTTTGGGGGGGGGAATATGCTCATTTCACAACTCCCCCAGAGTTAAACAGTTGAGTTTAACCATTTTCTAACCCATTCAGCCGATTTTCTGATATTTAGAAGAACATCAGTAACCAGACAGTTTCTGGTCTCATTGACTTCCATAGTAGGAAAAAAATATGCTATGGAAGTCATTGAGACCAGAAACTGTCTGGTTACTGATATTCTTCTAAATATCAAAAAAAAAAAAAAAAAAATGAATACATTCGAAAACGGTAAAACCCAACTGTTTAACTCTGGGTAAGTGGTAAAATGAGCCTATTTCCAAAAAAAGTGGAGTATCCCTTTAAGAAATCACTTTTGAATGACACAACTACAGGGCAACCATACAGTGTACTGTATGACATAAATGATTATCACGACTTCCTCTTTCAACAGAATAGAGGTTCTGACGGTTGTTATTGGTGCTCATGACTTAAGGAACATCGAGAATTCAGATCGCTTCGACGTGAAGTCTTACATCCCACACCCAGACTATATAGACCGTCGTAATCAGAATGACATCATGCTTATGAGGGTAACAAACTGTAATACTTTTATTTGTTCAATTAGAATCTGATCAGGAAACAGTGGCACAAAACGAACTCATTTCTATTGCAATGTGAGACTGTAAGATTGCAGTAACCCTTATGAAAAAGAAGTTTATTCAAGTGTGCCATTAGTATACTTCTTTTAAACTAAAAATAAGAAAGTATACTTTCAGTTTATTTTTCCTGTACTTCTCAGAAGTATACTATATGTACTTCTCAGAAATATACTTCAAATTACACTTAAGTGTACTTGACTTATACTGAGAGAAAAGCAAGTATATTTGTCCTGTTCTTGTACTCAATCTTTTGATCCAGAAATACATAAAAGTATAATTAAGTATTCAAAGTATACTTGTATAAGTACTACAGTAAAAAAGTAAACTACTACTATACCCATAAATTCACTTGCAGTACACATGAGATACATAATTATGAACTAGTTGTGCACTTACTGTTACACTTATAGTACACTTAAACATACACTTTTATGTACTAAAAGTGGGCCAATTTAGTCCCAAGCGGTATTAAAATAGTACACTTACAAGTTTACTTCTAGTACATAGTGACATTAGTATACTTACTACATAATGTATACTTAAAAATATACTTGAACATTACTTAAGTATACTACATAAAATGAACTTGAAATGTACTTGTTTTCGTAAGGGAAGGCATTCAATTAATTTCTAATGTACAGAAAAAGGCCAAGTGACTCCTTGAGTGTCTTTCTTTTTTAATTTTTTTTTATTTCGGCAGTTCAGAATTGATTCTTTTGACGTCAGAATTGACGTTGCACACCTTTTATATTCATGAACATTGCATGAAAGTTAATATTTATAAAAAAGCACAATAGGTGCACTTTAAGAGGCGCTTAACAAAAACGTGTTGGTGACGTGTATTTTGTAAAATTTCTATATACCGTCAATAAAAAAAAAAAAAAAAACCTGGGTCTTCAGGGCTTTTGTACTAACAAAAAATACTGTATTGTTGGTTCAACTTAAAAAAGTAAGTAACCTGGTTGCCTTAAAATTTCAAGTTGATCGAACTGGAAAAAGTGAGTTAATACAATGAAGGAGATTGATTTAATCATCAGAAACTCAAAATAATAAGTTATCTGAACTAAATAAATTATTTAAGTTGATTTGACAAAAGAAAAAATGTTGTGATAACAAATCTTGAAAATATTTGTTTTTACAGTGTAAAAACAACTGCACAAAGATGACTATATCTTTTATTAATAATGGTTGTGTTTTTGAATTACAGCTACAGGAAAAAGTTAAAGCAAACAACAATGTCAAATGGATTGATTTACCAATGGATGGAGAGGAAATGGGAACAAATTCTGTCTGTAGTGTTGCCGGCTGGGGAAGACTGAAGACTAATGGCCCAACGAGTGATCTTCTAATGGAGGCAAATTTGTACATAATGAATAACTTAGAATGTAGCTATAAATGGGGAGAGATCTACTCACTCTCACAGATGATGTGCACACATGGCCGTGGTGGATCCTGCCTTGTACGTACAAAATAAAAATAAAAAGATTCACACACTTTGATTATGTTATGTTGTGTACTGATCCGGTATGTATTTAATTGACGTGTTGATCTGTTTCTTCACAGTTTGATTCAGGAGGTCCTTTGGTTTATGGAAACACTGCAGTTGGTGTCACATCGTTTGGAAATGCGGAAATGTGCAATTCACCTAAATATCCGAATGTGTATATTAAGATTTCACAATATCGCGAATGGATCGACAACATAATTAGAAAAAGTGAGTTCAGTTATTGAATGCTTTTGTGACTTCTTTCAATAAAGTATCACGTGGCAAGCATCAATCATTCAAAGTGTCTTCATTGTCACAACCATATAAAGTTACAATATTACACGGGGAGAACAAAAGACATTTTACATTAGTTCACTTGGTGACCATCTTGGTTACGCTCTAAAATTCCATTCATGCAAGTATGGCTCATATCTTTGAAAAGGGAAAGTCTGAAACTGCAAAAATGTTAGTCAGGGATAAAATCAGGCAAATATGCCATAATAAATGCAGCTTCTTAAGCTCAAAGTCTACAAATAGAGGAAATGAAAACAATACAAATAACTGAAAAGGCAACAAAAAACATTAGAAGTTGAGTCAGAAGTTCTACTTCCAGCGTCCAAACTATAAATGACATTTTTATTGCAATTGTAAAAAAAACTACACACATTTTAATTACAAAATTGTATTAGAGTGTACTACAAGATACAGTTGAATATTTTACATCAATAGTTTTAATTTTAAATTCTGCATCACCAGATTTCATTTTCATTTGTGAATTTCTCTAAACTTTATCACTCTTAACCTACAAACATAAAACTTTCTTTAAAGGGTTAGTACACCCAAAAATGAAAATGATGTCATTAATGACTCTGACCCTCGTGTCGACCTCTGTTCATCTTCGGAACACAGTTTAAGATACTTTTAGATTTAGTCCGAGAGCTTTCTGTCCGTCCATTGAAAATGTATGAACAGTAAACTGTCCTTGTCCAGAAAGGAAATAAAGACATCATCAAAGTAGTCCATGTGACATCAGTGGGTTAGTTTCAATGTTTTGAAGCATCAAAACTAAATTTTTTTGTGGCTTCTCTTGCTTCCGTCTGGGCCTTATGTCTATGCCAAGCACATTACGTTTTTTAATACCATATAAATTTCAAGCATTTCTGTGGCTAAGATGAACAGGTGAGATGGGACAACCTTGAGGAATACCCACAGTAATCTTGAAGCTTGGGGTTGTACCACTAGGCAATAGGACACAGCTACTATCTCGATATAATCCACCAACCAGTTCTCTAAACTTGACTCCGAAGCCAAAATGTTTGAGCGCCAAAAGAAAAAAAAATGGATGCCCCGTGGAGTCAAATGCTTTATAAGTCTAGAAAGAGAAGGAAACCGTCATCCTCTTCTTTACTCAATGATGTCCATTACCAATCTTATATTAATATGGACTGACCTTCCTTTTAAGAACGCCTGACTGTATCTGCAATAAGATCCGAAATCCCTGTTTGAAGAGTGTAATGGGTCTTCTGTTCTCTAAAATTCTGGGATCTTTCCCAGGTTTTGGAAATGAGACGATAACCCCATGTGTCATTGTTGGTGGAAGGACACATTTCAAATATTTTGGTAAAAGCTTTTAGAATTAGGTTTCTTAAATCTACCCAAAAATGTCTGTAAATGTCACCTGTGAGACCGTTGGATCCGGGGGCTTTGTTAGGAGAGAAACGACCAATCACATGTTTGAGGCCATGCTCTAATTTGGGACTATGTTTTGCTATATCCTGAAAAAAAGATTGACAGTCCACATTAGAAAATTTCCTGTCTTCTTTTTTCAAGGCCACAGAAATACACTGATGGTGGAGTAAAAAGTGGAGTATCCCTTTAAGACTGTAAATTTAATCTTTAGGTTGGCAGTTTAATATCTTCTGTCTGTCGTCTTCAGTTGGGTTTGACCTATTGCAGTACATAATTAACTGATTAATAATGTCTACTACTTGTTTTTTCACTATCTTTTTTAATTATTTTACTGAATGAGATGGTAAATTGGCATTTCTACTTTTTGATAGCAGTTGTTAGCTCCTCAGAATTGGCAATTTCTTTAATTAATAATTTGATTTTTTTTGGCAATAGTCATTATTTTTGAGCAGACTGGAACTGAACTTCCAGTGGTAGAATACCTTAGTGGTGCAGCAGAAATATCGGAGTTAATATAATAAAATCCTGGATTTAAGTGTCTCCAAGTATCACCAAATTATGTTTTTCGCAAAAGTTCATGAATATGGTGTTTGGATGACTTGCAGAGTATCGGAAAGGACATTTATCAAAATATCCATCATGAACAAGGTTTAGATTGCCTCCAATGATAATGTTATCATTTGAGTGTGTTCATTTGAGATTGTTTAAATTTGTTCAAGTAGGTTTCAGTTTTCTCTGCTGAGGTTATAATCATAAATGTTGACTAAGATGAATTTCAGGCCATCGATGTTTATGATAAGAATCAGCCAGTGACCAAACTCATCTGCCATATGGGACACGATATGACGATAGAAGTTATTTAGGAGGATGGCGACTCCTGCTGACCTTGAAGTGCCATGGCTAAAGTAAGCTTCATCTCACCATTGTTTAGACCACAATATAACAACATCAACCTTAGAATGTGTTTCCTTAACTCCTTCCCTTTACAAGATAAGAAAATACTTTTTTCTCTGTCATGTCTCTGAAACCCTAGCATTAACCGAAATTAGAGAGATGTTACTCTCTAAACTGAACATAGATTAAAAACAAATGAACAAACCAACAAAAAAGGATTGCTGCATGTCTAACCGGCATGCACTGTTTCAAGTCAGCCACCGATCGGCCTGTGCACAGCTGCATGTACTCGAACACACCTTATGTGAAACGATGATGTCATAACCCCACGTGTCTACCCCAGTCAGACACACTACGTCACGTAACAACAACTGCGGACGACATGCTTGTGTTCGTGCTGCAGAAGCTATACTGAGCCTCTTTTATTTCTTTATTTATTATTTACTTAAATGTATTCATATTTTCTTTCTTTATTTTACTTCTTAATTTATTTACATGATGTTTATCTGTTGTCTGATTAAGACATTTCATATTTTGTACCAGGCCATTTATGATTGTTTATGGTAGTTATTGTTCAATAATTTCGATAATAATACGAGTCTATTATTATAGGCCTATGTCACACTTCCTGCTTCCGGAATGCGGAGTAGGGATATAGAACTTCCGGTCAACTTCTCTTTAACTTATTTCTCAAGGATTTAGATTATCAGCCCTAATGTCTAAACCATTCAAGGTAGACACGAGCTATGAGGTTGACAAAATAAGGTTTTTGCTCCTGTTGAAGCTATAAGTGCGAATGAAATCAACCTTGTTTTAAGAAAAACATGTTTTATCCAAGATCTTATGAAAAAAAAAACTACACTACCCACAATCCTAAGCGTAGCAGCAACGTCAGTTGATTGGTCTAACTCGCTGTTACCATAGAAACGTTTACCTTACTGACGAACAGCTATACTGTAGCTATCCGCATCTGTTGTAGTAGTGTATACAGCCATACCTCAACTTTCACGCTTTCTCACTTAAAAGTTTTCATTTACCATCCGAACCACAGCGTCATATGTGACTTCATGCAGGTTGCGGAGAGATTTGGTCCAGCGGTATGTATCGGACTCCACCATTGTAAAAAGCTAACCAGAAGAGCCGTATCCCTACTAAAAGACGTACTTCCGGTCTTCAATTTTTTCGTGATATAGGCCTATAGTAGACAGTGCAAGGTTAAAGGGATAGTTCACTTTGAAATTAATTTTTGATATGTTATACCTTACCTCAAGGGCATCCAAGATGTAGGTGTCTTTGTCTCCAAAGTATTTTCAATTTTGACATTTTTCAGTCAAACCGTTGTTGTCTGTCAATCATACACTGGAGGCTAAGGGGGTCCACCAAAAAGCATGCACAGAGAAGTCCAAAATAAACATGATTTAATGACTCGTAAATGTAAGAACACATTGATGGCCTAAGACACGAAACGAGCGGTTTGTGTGAAAAAACTAACAGTATTTATATCGTTTTTACCTCGTGTAATCCAAGTGATCTGAATCAGTTGTGCAATGTCCAACTGAACCGAACTGAATCAGTTCAATGTTACGCCGGAAGTGATCGCTTGCGTGTGACGTCACTCAATATTTATACAGAGATTTCGGAAGTTTTACCTTTTACTAAACATTTAGATATACCGAAATCGTCTTCCATTGCGGTTTCCCGTATATCTAAATATGTTTAGTGAAAGGTAAAACTTCCGAAATCTCTGTATAAACAAAGAGTGACGTAGGCGCGCAAGCGATCACTTCCAGCTCATGCGCAGACCGAAGCGCCCGTGCCGTCAGATCATTTCGTCATGGCTATGATTACAAGAGGTAAAACGATATAAATGATGTTCGTTTTCTCACACAAACTGCTCGTTTCGTGTCTTAGGCCATCAATGTGTACTCACATGTACGAGTTATTAAATCATGTTTTATTTGGACTTCTCTGTGCATGCTCTTTGAGGTGAACCGATTGAGGACCCCCTTCACCTCCAGTGTATGACTGACAGACAACAACGGTTTGACCAAAAAATGTCAAAATTGAAAATACTGGACACCTACATCTTGGATGCCCTTGAGGTAAGCTAAAACATATCAAAAATTAATTTCAAAGTGAACTATCCCTTTAAGTCTCTGCTCTTGATAAGGAAAGCTCTGACTTCGTGTGGATGTGCTATAGGGATGGAGAAGTACTCGTGAAGCACTGTACCCATTAAAGTGTGACAATAAAATAAAAAATGGGCATCTAATAATGATCCAATAAGATCTAATAATGTAGGCTTACTATCTCTCTCTCTCACACACACACACACACACACACACATTACATATAGAATAAGGTTCTTCTGTTTTGATGAGGTGAGTCTACCCTCTGTCCCTAGCAAAATATGTTCAAAATATAGCAAAACATATTCAAATGTACTGTATGCTGTCCTGCTTTAATCTTCTAGATCTAGACCGAACTATCTGTGGCTGAAAATGAGACCACAAGGATTAACAGGAACAACACTCATCCACAAACTGAAGAAAAAAAAAAAGACTTGTGGGCAGCTCAATGTCTCCACCCACCCTTATATTTATACAGTGTTTTATCATGAGAGCTCACTGATCGTCTCCTTCATCATGACCATCATCACCAGCATCTCTCTGCTCCTGCTGGCCTCTCTGCTGCCACACCTGAGCTTCACTGGTGAGACTGATTATAAAACAGCTTTTATCAGTGTTTAATTTATATATGTGCTGAATAAGTTAACTGACAGCTCTCTCGCTCTCTCAGCTCACGTGGATGTGGGTATAGTGAACGGCAGGGAAGCCAGACCCCACTCTAGACCTTACATGGTTTCTCTTCAGAAGAACGGACAACATGACTGCGGTGGATTCCTCATTTCTGATGAGTTTGTCTTGACTGCTGCACACTGCTGGAACGGGTAAGAGCTTGTTTAATGTGAACAGAAATGTTGAGTTCAAACTGACTGCAGTGCGACCATACAGTGTATTATATCACATAAATGAACATTTCCAATATGCTCTTTATACAGATATGACATTCTGAGAGTTGTGGTTGGTGCTCATGACTTAAGGAACAGACACAACTCAGATGTCATCAGAGTGAAGTCCTACATCCCGCATCCAGGCTACATAACCAGTTCTTTTCAGTATGACATCATGCTTTTGAGGGTAACAACCTGTAATAGTTTTTTTTTTTTTTTATAATATCTCAGGAATATCTCAGGTCAAGAAACAGTAGCAAAAAACACTAAAAAAAAAATAATACAAATACTGAAGTGATTTAAATCATACGTAAAGGGCCATGGTCTCTTTGACTCTGACCCTGTATTATTAATGAATTGCTCTCTGTAGAAACAATAATGGCACAACAAAACAGAGAAAGCTGAAAAATCATCGAAGCCTTTTTGTTGTTATACTCATTACTCAGCAGAAAAGAACACAGTGTAAAATAACAGTGTAATCCACTGAACTTAAGTCTTATAAAAGACTGTTTATTAAAATGGTTTTATTTTTTAATTACAGCTAGAGAAAAAAGTCAAACTAAACAACGAAGTTGGATTGATCTCATTACCAAAGAGAGGAGAAGATGTGAAAGCAGGTATTCTCTGTAGTGTTGCCGGTTGGGGAAGACTACAGACTTCTGGCCCACTGAGTTTTCTTCTAATGGAGGCAAACACAACTACAAAAAATCAGGCATACTGTAAGCACTTATGGAAAGATGTTGATTACGTTCCCGAACGGATGATCTGTGCATATGGCAGTGGTGGATCCTGCAAAGTATGTGTGATAATTATTCACCGACTTTATAGTAATGTACAGACTGGTTTCACTGGTGACGTGTTGATCTGTGTTTCTCAACAGGGGGATTCAGGAGGTCCTTTGGTTTGTGGAAACACTGCAGTTGGTGTCACATCATTCGGATATACATATCACTGCAATTCACCCAATAAGCCTAATGTGTATACTGAGATTTCACCATATCTTCAGTGGATCAATGAACAAATTAAACGTTAAATGTATTTTAATAAAAATATCACATGGCAAGCATCAATTATACTCAATGTGTTCTTATTGTCACAACTACACCCTCACTTTTCAGTTGTGACTGACTCATTTCTCATTAAATGGGGAAAACTGACATACTCCAAACTGTTGTTAAATTAAAGAAAAAAATAAATAAATAAAAAATAAAATAATATATATATATATATATATATATATATATAAATAAACAAATAAATAAATAAATAAACAAATAAATATATATATATATATATATATATATATATATATATATATATATATATATATATATATATATATATATATATATATATTGTTTCCAAACAGGTGTGATATCATACACTGTGCTGGTCTAACTTAAAAAAAAATATAATAATAAAATATATATACATATATATATATATATACATATACATACATACATAAATGAAACAATCTTTCAGACAGGTCAAAATAAAAAAAAGAATGATTGAAAAAACCTGCAGGATTTAAGTTGTAAAATGAAGAGTTTTATGAAATCTTCCGACAACAGTTATTTGAAAATGGCAAGTCAGCTTTACCAAGCTTACACCTGTTTTCACACATCTAATATAATTTGCAAGAAATATTAGGCATGGATTACATCACACATGATGTAACCATTAACAGCACAAACATAACACCTACAATATACTGACAAAAGTATTGGGACACCCCTCCAAATCATTGAATTCAGCTGTGCCAATAACTTCTGTGGCCACAGACCTTTAAAATCAAGCACCTAGGCATGCAGACATGGGTCGCTCTCAGGAGCTCAGTGAATTCAAGCGTGGTACCGTGATAGGTTGCCACTTTTGCAATAAGACCATTCGTGAAACTACCTATTAAATATTATGTGTGGCCTTCAGAAGAGCTCAAGTCAGAAAAAAATCATATAGAGCTTTGTGGAATGGGTTTCCATGGCCGAGCAGCTACATCACCAAGTGCAATGCAAAGTGTCGGAGGGGTGTAAAGCAGGGTTTCCCAACCTTTTGCAACTCATGGCCCACTAATGACTGCTTAAAACACGGACCACATTACAAGGACCACCTTTCCAAGAAATTTCAGAAAAAGTACAAAGATATACTCTGCTTTTAATCTGTTATGCCACTGTAGCAGACTAGGTCAAGTCAGCTATATAGATGAAAACTGTCCTCGTATAGAAAAGACTCAGCAGGCTTACTCAGTAACCATTCACTATAACAGGCTCACATACCTGTAACAACAGGTCAGACACACAAGAGGGGAACATTCACTCTATTCATTAGCAGAAATGTTCAAAAAAGTTAATTCACCCCATTTTACATACTGGAAGTATAATTTATCAAATACAATTAGTGAAATTAACATGACTGTTTAAAACAATATTCGTTTGGCTTCCCAACACAGCCTGGGTGTTTTGAGTTCAAATGTTTCTGCAGCTTTGATGATTTTAGCACCTCATTTGACAACATTTCTCCACATTCAATTGGGCATTCGGCTTAAGGGGGGGGGTCGCACACCGGACGAGATACATTTTCTATGAGTGTACACACACACACACACACCGGCAGCGCCATTTGGTGTCTGTCCGTGGCGCCAAGCTACGGCTCAGGGCCGTGTTCAAAATCCTGCCGTGCCACAGAGCGCCATTTACATAGTTTATATTAAATTTACATTATATTTGTCTCAAATCGTTGTTAATGTATGTACTGACTTCACCTGATTTATACTGATTTTCAGGTGAGATTCTCATTTCAGTTAATGCACGTCCTGAGGTAAAGTCTTCAGGCTGCAAACTCAGCAACGATTTTATTTAATTATAGCTACAGTACAATAATAACATAGTACAGACATTATCTTTAATTTAATAATGTCCTTAAACATAACAATATTTGCTGGGCATACACTGAGAAAGTGCGCTTCTGGTGTGTGATACCTCGAGTTGTCCTAGGGGCAATTTCCACCTGGCCACTTCATGCAGTTTCTGTGATCGGATAGGTATCCGGTTGTGAAAATACCAGGTGTAAATGCCCTCCGAAACGCGTTCCGAGACAAATTTAAATTCGATCACTCAAACTGGGCCGCATTCCAGACAAAACTGAACAAGTGTAAATGCAGCTGGTTGAAACTACATATGTACAGTAAAACAAACAAGTGTGTGAGTTTTTTATAGGCTAGACCTATATGTCATGTTATAGCCAGATATGACGGTGGCGCTACTGCAGTGGGCTACGAATCGCCACAGATTAGAGCAGCTGAGGATTCATCAAGCCAATGCGCAACTACCGCAAATCAAAGTGAAAGTAAGTCGCAGACACTTCAAACACAATCATCTTCATTAAAAGTAAAGAATCGAAATGGTCTTACCATGTACCATTGCCGTTCTCTCCTATTTTTATCTTTGATTTTGAAATTAGCTGATGATCAATAAATTGCAGCTTGTGTTGATTTCGGTGACGTGAACTCCATTAAAGGAGTAGTTCACTTTTGAAAAAACTTTTGCTGATAATTTACTCACCCCCATGTCATCCAAGATGTCCATGTCATTCTTTCCTCAGTCGAAAAGAAATTAAGGTTTTTGATGAAAACATTCCAGGATTTTTCTCTATATAATGAACTTCAATGGGAACCAGACGGTCCAAGGTCGAAAAGACAGTTAATAACAGTTTCAGATGCAGCTTCAAATGTCTTTAAACGACACCAGACGATGAATGAGGGTCTTATCATGCGAAACGATCGGTTATTTCAAAACTTATTCCATAAATGTAACTTTTCTAAGGACAAATTCTAGCCTTGCTCTATTCTGTGAGGCGCGTTTGTAACGTCACGTAATACGTAATTACGTTCAAAAGGTCACGGGCGACGTAGCCGGAAGTACAGAATCAAAATCGTCCGACATCGTTGTTTTACCTTTTAATTCCTTTTTTTGTAAACGGCGTTTGAGTTAGTTTGCACGTTCAACCTATGCGTTCAACTTGTAAACACTGACTCTGTACTTACGGCTACGTCGCCCGTGACCTTTTGAACGTAATTACGTATTACGCGACGTTACAAACGCGCCTCACAGAATAGAGCAAGGCTAGCATTTGTCCTTAGAAAAGTTACATTTTTGGAATAAGTTTTGAAATAACCGATCGTTTCGCATGATAAGACCCTTATTCATCGTCTGGTATCGTTTAAAGACATTTGAAGCTGCATCTGAAACTGTTATTAACTGTCTTTTCGACCTTGGACCGTCTGGTTCCCATGTAAGTCCATTATATGAAGAAAAATCCTGGAATGTTTTCATCAAAAACCTTAATTTCTTTTCGACTGAGGAAAGAAAGACATGGACATGTTGGATGACATGGGGGTGAGTAAATAATCAGCAAAAGTTTTTTCAAAAGTGAACTAATCCTTTAAATCTGTCTATAGCGCAGGAATTGAAGATCGGATTTATATCCATTTTGCGAAAAAAACATTTATGTGACCAGGTGTGAATGTAATCGGTTTGATAAATCAGATATCTATCTGATAAGTAAAAACACATGAAGTGACCAGGTGTAACAAAATTTCCCAATTAAAAAAAAAAAAAAAACAAAGAAAAATTTATTTGGGGGTAGCTTATCACTGCATACACGGCCACCAGCGGCAGCCTACTGGTTGAGAATCACTGGTGTAAAGCATGCCGCTACTAGACTCTAGAGCAGTGGAGAAAGGTTCTCTGGAGTAACGAATCGTGCTTCTCTGTCTGGCAATGCACTGGGTGAGTGGGTTTGGCGGGTGCCAGGAGAACGGTACTTGCTTGTAAAGTTTGGTGGCGGGGGGATTATGGTGTGGGGTTGTTTTTCAGGGGTTGGACTTGGCCTCTTAGTCCCAGTGTAAGGAGCCCTTAACGCTTCAGCATACCAAGACACTTTGGACAATTTCATGCTCTCAACATTGTGGAAACAGGTTGGGGATGGCCCCTTCCTGTTCCAACATGACTGCGAACCAGTGCACAAAGCAAGGTCCATAAAGACATGGATGAGCGAGTTTGGTGTGGAGGAACTTGACTGGCTTGTTGAGGAGTCCTGACCTCAACCCAATAGAACACCTCTGGGATGAATTAGAGAGGAGGCTGCGAGCCAGGCCTTCTTGTCCAACATCAGTGACTGACCTTACAAATACGCTTCTAGAAGAATGGTCAAAAATACCCATAAACACACTCCTAAACCCTGTGGAGCTGTTATAGCGGCAAAGGGTGGGCCAACTCCATATTAGACCCTACAGATTAGAAATGGAATGTTATTAAAGCCCACTTTACATGAAATACCATCAACACTGAAGAAAACCTTCAGCACTCCAGAGAAACCTTCCCAGAACAACATCATGATCGCCTGTGTGCTTTTGATAGTCACCTTGCAACCATATCTTAGCCTTTCAGTTAAGTCTGATGGAAAATTACAAACCTCTATTGCATCATGTCTTCTACGTTTACCATAAATGTGCACTTTTAATGTGCATTTTATGTATTTTTAGAATTGCTATCACTACTCTTAATAACTAGATCTGAAGGAACATTTAGTCAAATCTATTTCTAATCTAACCAACCTAAACTAATTTCTCTTTCAGCATCTGTGGATGTAGGTATAGTGAATGGTACAGAAGCCAAACCTCATTCAAGACCCTACATGGTCTCCATTCAAAGAGATAACAAAGATAAATGCAGTGACTTCCTTGCATCTGAACAGTTTGTCATGACGGCTGCACATTGCTTTAAAGAGTACGTTTTTTTGTTCAGTAAGAATTTCGTTATGAGTCAGAGTCACAGACTGCTGAAAAAGGGTCTTCACTTGGTGTGACTACTTTCGAAATAACACATACCATGATAGTAACCAACTTAGTATGTACATGACTTCTGGTGAGTCCGCCCATTATTAACCCAACAATCAAAACCAAGTTTTACCAAGGTAAAGTTGAGCAAAATACGTGTGGCTTTGCTATGGAAGCATCATAACCAAGTAAATTAATACATTATGGTTCTAAATTCATATTGTTATAGGTCTA